GACACCCTGTTGCTTCAGGTTAAATACAATCACACAGGTAATTATTCATTATATTTCTAGGAACTAATTAGCATATGTAAATATCTTTCACGCATGTCTGTTAGCATCTTTGGGTGGTCTTCAGGGGTCCCAAGATGAAGGCCCATCCTCTTCATCATGCTGTTCACTGATTGACATTTGTTTCTGGGCAAACTCTGTTCTAGGATCATGTCTATCGTGTCCTTCAGGTTGTTTGGCTCTGGTGTTGTTTTGCGCTCTGGGTGCCTCCTTATCTCTGTAGCTTGGTGCATTTGCGCTCCCCAGGCCGAGCTGTCTGGAGTGGAATTATTCAGGAGTCTCTTTTATCCCACAATTATCCCAATTATTTGCTGAGAACCAAGACCACTTTTGTTTCACTTAATTATTTTGTCTAACGACTAAGTGATAGCTTGTGCCCACGTCCTTCCACTACATTCCTTAATGAGAAAGCAGGGATTAGTGTAACAGTTACATCGTTAGATCACTGTGCATGCAGGAATACAAGTTACAGTACTAAAGACTACTAAAAACTAGAAAATATTAAGGCTTTTTAAGGCTTTTTTGTTATAGTTTCACGTTTCTTACAATCCCCTCTATCACCCACCGGCCTCGGGGACCCTGATGGAAGCAGCGCCGTGTTTTCCACATCGAGTTCGAAAGCGACCTTGAAGTAACTGGGGGGAGGAAGATGAGGTGTACTGGGGCTTAACAGACAAACCAGACTGCAGTTTTCCATCTGGTGTGACTTCACAGGGTAGACACGGGGGACATTTGGGTCTGTCTGGGTGGGTGGGGTGGGTGAGCAGAGCATGAGCTGGGCTCAGAGCGGCCGATCCGATGCGCACGCCGTGAAACAAGCTGCAGTTCACACAGTACGCGCGGTTCTGGCGAACAGCTGAAAGCGGGTCTGGAAAATCACCCCCTTCCAGTGGCTCAGCGGTAGAGCTGCCTTTGCCTTCTGGCGTGAGGATTTTCGAACAACCCTGAGTTGCTTGAAGCCTTTGAGACACAGTGAAGGCAGAGAACCGCTGCCTGCGCCCAGAAAACAGCTTTGTTTCCCAAAGCAGCCAGTCTGCAGGCAGCATGACCCGGTTGATCCAGGGTAGGGCGAGCGTGCAGCTGCCTGTACACCGCAGAGTCGGGCTCTGGTACTGCATGATTAATCGGGGTGGACATCCCCTACGTGACCTGCAGAGAGCACAAGGCAAAGTTGTGGCAGCCTGACCCGGCTTGGCCAGCTCCCACAGGAGCTGGGCCAGCGGCAGCCTACGTGCAGATGACCACAGCGGGAGAAATATCCCCTTTATATATGACTTTACATACATATGCCTTTACAGAAGCAACTCCACAACTCAGGTCTGACCAGATTTGGGTTGTCAGGGTATTTAAAAGCCCACCCCATGTGTGTCCCTGAACAGGAGGTCACAGGTTTGGGACTCAGATAATTTCAGTACTCCTTCCAGCTCTTTGACTAGCTTTTGCATAACTGTGGATGGTTTAATTCACTACTCCGCACCCTGCCATGGAACAGCGATGTTGTGAGTCCAATGGGACCATCCTTCTTTAGAAGGACTCTGCTCTGGGCTAGCAAACCCAGCCAGGAGTGTGTCATTGCTATGTCAGGTCCAATTTCTTCTGCCTGAACCCCAGCCTCTCTCAGTTCAGGTTTTTTCCTGCTCTGTGGGAACGCCATAAGATCAAGAGCAAGCATGTAGGCGTGTTAAGACAGAGGGTGGAAGATCACATATCCGTCCGAAAGGTAAATGTAGGTGTTCAGAGAGCTCCCCAGTGAACTGGCCTGAACTCTGCCTCCAACACAGGACCCATAAGCCAAATCAGCCCACTCTGCTCGTGGGCTGTGCTCACGGGAAAAATGTCTGGGGAAAAACAAGGTTCAGGGAAAGAATAAGAAGGTTGGGTGCTGGAGGGAAAAAACCTGGGCAACGCCATGTCCTTCGGCGCCTGCAGCCTCACAGCTCTCACCTGGCAGAGCTTGCTTCCACGCACTGCTGCTGCGCAGCGTCTCTGCCTGGGAAACCCCGGTGCCAAGCCCCTGCTTGGGGTCAGGCATCGTCTGCATTCCCAGGAAGGGCTGGCAGCACCCCGTGCGTCGCCTGACCTGCTGCCTGGCTGGGCACGGCCGCCAGCCCCACTGCCGAGAGCGCTGCAAGCCTCACGTCCCCGGTATTAAACAACTTCCATGCAATAAAACCTGCTGAGAGCGGGGTCTCTGCCTTGTGTCAGCCAGAGGATGAGGACTCCTTCAGGGGGGCATTTGGCTCCTGCTTTCCAAGGAAAGTCTCCCAAGAGCCACGCTGACCTGCTGCCGCGTTTGAGGACCACGTCCTGCAGGCAGACGCTCGCAGCAGGGGTGCAGGTGACAGCTGTAGGTCTGAGATGAGGTTTCTGGTCCCTGTTACTGCTCATCGCAGCTCCTGCCCAGTCAGTGCGTCACGGCCTCTCAGTCCCAGCCGCCATCAGCGACATCCCCAGCCTTCTCCAGAGCATCCCAGCAGAGGATTTTTGCCCGCTGCAACCCTGAATTGCTTCTTCCTCCATCTCAGCGGCCTGGGTTGGGTCCTGCAGGCTTACCCCTGCCCCTTGAGCTGGGGAGATGAACCGCCTTCATCCATCTGCGCTCATGCATATGCTCCCTTCCACTCCCTTGCATCCCAAGGTCGCCTCCAAAATTGACTTCCAGTTAGCGCAGATGTTTAACTCCCCTTTGTTTTGCAAGCAATTCTTGTGCACAGCCCCAGAGACTCTCCTGAGTACAAATTACAGCGTCAGCTCCTAACTCAGGAGGAGTTTATCCTCTGTGTTCCCAAAAGAAACAGCTCCTTGGCTGGAGGAGGTCCCATCCCTCCCCCTTCCCTCCCGCCCCTGATGGGACCGGGACCCCCCATGCTCCAGACCCACTCCTCTCCCCCATTCCGCGGTTCACCGCGCCCCTTCCCCACTGTGCCGCGCTGCTCCCCGAGACGTGATCCACTGCCCGACACCCCTGGGTGCTGTGGGCATACCTGCGGCGCCGGGCTCCCCGCCGATGGCAGGCGAGGGTAATTACGGCCCTGCGCAGGATTTTCGGGAATGCTGGGAAAACCAGTTTGGCCATCGCTGGCCGCAGGGTCACATCCCTGCACTGCTTGAGGGCACGCAGAGCTGCGTGCGCACGTGTGCACATAGACACACACGTACAGCTGCACGTGCCCACACGGATGTGCGTAGGTACACACCCCCCCTGCTCACACCCGTACCTCTAAGCACACACGCACGCTCGTGCACGCACACAGGCGTGCGCGTAAGCACAGAGATGCACAAATCCGTGTACACATGTAAATACAAGCATACATTACGCCCACACGCACGCACACGTGCGCACACACCTCTGGCACCCCTACACGTACAAACGCACGCACACGCGTACACACCCACCCGCAAATACACGCGTGCACAGGCGCACGGACCAACACGCACGCACCTGCAGACACGTGTGCTCACGCACACAGAGCCACAGCAAGAAGCTGCCAGCTCTGGGGCTGCTGGGCGGGGGACCAGGGCAGGTTGGGTCCTGGATGTCCCCCCCCGGGGCAGCCGGGCAGCACAGTGCAGGGCTGGTGACGCCTTTCCCAGAACGGGTTATTTAACGAAGTATTTCAGCACCTGGTGAGTCATTAATTACGCCCCATCCCACAATGCTAATACTAATACTAATAATAAAAAAATATTTTACAGCATTCCACACCCCGTGCCCGCCCTCGCAGGCATCACGCACCTCCTACCATCCCACCTTGCACAAAAAGCTGCAGCGTGGCCCCGGCTGCCCACCCGCTGCCGGGCTCCCAACCATGCTTCATCCCACCACCCGGAAACCCCTGGGGAATCGGAGGGATCCTTCCCATGACTCTGTCCCCAAGAATCTGGTGTTTCCTACCCCAGGTGAAGCCGTTCCCAGGCAGTTTCTCACCAAGAGCGAGCAACCCCAAGCTCTGTGTGCCAGCATCTTCTCAGCATGGCATCCCAGAGCTCTCTGGAGAGGTGCAGATGGACAGCAAGCTGGCATCAACGCACCCCTGGGGAAATCCCACATCAACACCAGCTACGCAGACACCGCCATCAAAATTCAACAGTGGCATCTTACAAACGGCAGAACTCCCCACAATCACATGCACACTTCCTTTAAAACATCTACATCGCACTAAAGAAGCCACTACACAGCCTCTGACTCCTGTCAGATAGACACCCAAGACAGCTAAATACCTGATGCTGTGTCCTACACAGTCAACCCCAGGCCCCAGAAGGTCCACGACCACCAGTTCCAGGGCAAAAACCACAACCCATCCCTTCGCTCCACGCAAATGGGTGTCACGTGTGGGCACACAGCCTGCCACTCTGCAATGGGACGAGCCAGTGTGACAGCCGGTACCCGAAATATCTCACATGAGATAACAGCACTGCTGGGACCAGCTGAGCTCTTCCCCTCCTGTTCCTCACTTGGTTCCCCCATGCTGGTGGAGCAGTGCGGTTTCCCCTAGGATGCAAGGAGGGCCAGGGGCCATGTTGAACCACTGGCAGGGATCACTGGTGTCCCAAAAAGGAGGAGTTGCAGAAGAAAAAGGGGGTTGCTGCTCCCCACCATCTCTTTACAGAAGAGATTCTCTTGGCAGCCTGAAAAGCCTGGTGGTGATTTGCAGACAGGCTTCCTGCGGGGCTTTTTTTCCAAGGAGACCCAAATCCCTTTGGCCTGCCAAGGCTGTTTGCAAACATCGTGCTAGATCCCAGCCCAGCAACCTCCTGCCCACAGGCTCAGACCTTTGAACTCGCTGAGCTGGGGCAAGAGGAGGCACAGGGCTGCTTGGCGCTGCGCTTCCTGAGAGCATCTCTCAAAAACCTGAGCACCTCCCAACCTCAGCCCACCGCGCTGCTGGTGCCCTCGACCACACAGCTCAAACCGCTGTGCACGAGCGCGCACTCACACGCACACCCACGTGCACACATGTCCTTGTCCCTCTGTTCCTCTCCTGCTGTCACCTTGACCCTGGCTCATGCTGCGTCGCTCTCCCTCTTCACCACCTTGTCCCACCCCAGGGCCTTCCCGCAAACACTGCTGATGTGGGAATGCTCTGGTCCCACGGCAGCTGCGGGGAGCTAAATCTCGAGCTAAAACCTCGGCATGTCCCCAGGGCTCGGCATCACCCGGAGGTGTCTCATGCTTCCCCATGGGCAAATCCAGCTCCTGCCCTGGGCTCTTCCTATCGGACGTTTGCATCCATCCCTTACCCCCCTTGGCCACCCCACGGCCACAGCTGTTTTCTTCCAGGCCTCCCAAAAACCTGATCTCAGCGATAATGCCTGGAGTGGCAGAAAGGCACAGTTCAGCCATACGAGGATGCAGCACTTCTCAGTATGGCCATATCACAGAAACCCATAGCTAATGAGCAGTCTTCACGATGGCCAAGATGTGGGGGACCTCATCATGCCAAAGACTGCTGAAGCTTTAAATAAAACCACAACGGCTTCACCCGGGGATTCAGGCAGGCACCAGCATGTTCCTGGCAGCCATCAAAAGAGAAAAAGTCCAAAGAGAGCTGGAGCCTAGCTCCTGGCTCGGACATCACAAGCTCCTCACTTGTCGGATGGGGTCAGAGGGATGCCAAGGTCCCTCCCAGTGCTTGGGACTACCTGGGCAATGCAGCATTGACTTGGATGAGTCTCAGTCATCACTCCGTGCTTGGATGGGGTTAAGTCTCACCTGGTTCATTGAACCCCACCTGTTTGCATGGGGATGGGGCATTGGCTTTGCATCCCACCACCGGCGGCAGCAGCGGCTCCAGGGCTTTACTGGGGTAAAGCTATGGTTTGCAGGCTGGTAGGACAGCCAGAGCCCTCCTTGGTCAGTCATATGCTGAGGGGCGAACGGGGTGTGGGTGTTATACACTCCTCCTTAGGCAAAAAAAAGTAGCCTAAACGGTCAAAAATTCAGAGAGGACTAAATGAATCCATACCTGTAGGTCGGGGTCGGAGAGGGAGAGGCTGATTTTGACTGTCCAGAGTCAGTGGCTCTGGCAGCTGTATCTCAAAACTGTGGTGACCTGAACTAACATGAAAAGATGTTGATACATTTCGTAACGTGTTTTGCCTCCTTTCAAATCACCAATTCCTTTTTTGCATAGATTGGTTTTTTTGTCCCTTGTTTCTATTTTCTGATCGCTTTTGTTTGCTTTCTGTGACAGGCTAGGGAGCGAATTTATCTGATTTCCCGGCTGTTGCTGTGGGCTTTACACATAGCAACAAGCAGGAGAAACCCCTTTCCTTTTTTTTTCTGATGGTAAGAAACAACCTGCAGCCTCCAAAAAGCACATCGGAGACTGAGGGAGGTGGAAAGCTCTGCCCCCTTTCCTCCTGTAGTTGTGCCATGTTTTATCAGCAATGGTTCGTTTGCCTTGTCTGTTCCACAAAAACAGTCCTCCTCAATCTCCCTGCAGCAGGATAGTGCTATGTTTTCCCCCCAGAAAAAAAAATTCCAGACTGCTCCTGAGACTAGGTGCAGTGTAGAGAGCCAGAAACATGCAAATTAGGTGTTTATTTATTCATGGTTTAAACCTCTGAGTGCCAAACCGCCTGGCAATGTGAGCGCCCTCGCTCCCTCCCTTTCAGCCAAACCCAACCCACATGGCACTGGGCAAGCGTCAGTGGAGGTGATGATGATGATGATGATGATGACTTGATTAGTTGAAATCTTCAGGCACACCTGACTCAGATTTAACAGCTCCGGCCCTTTTTTTCTTTGCCCCAGCCCCCCCATACCAATGACTCTTCAGGACAGGTATGGTCCATTCTTGTCTGCTCAGTGGGGAAACTGAGGCAGGGCAGAGGCAGGGGTTGCCGGGGTGCAGGAAAGCTGAGTCAGAGCTGACAGGGGCATTCGGGAAACTCCCTCACAGTTCTCCATTTTGCTGTCGGTTCTCACAGAAACAGAGATTATGCAACTGTGTTGTCTGTCTCTGCCAGATGCCTCCTCGTTCGTGGTTTTTAACCCAGAGGGGCAGCTTCACCCCCAGATGTGAGTGC